TATATATATATACTAAATATATATATATATGTATTTAGTATATACATATATTATTGAGGTTTGATTTGCCAACATATAGTATAACACCCAGTGCTCATCCATCAAGTGCCCTCCTCAGTGCCCATCACCCAGTCACCCCATCCCCCTGGCCGCCTCCCCTTCCACTACTCCTTGTTCATTTCCCAAAGTGAGGAGTCTCTCATGTTCTGTCTCCCTCTCTGATATTTCCCACTCATTTTCTCTTCTTTCCCCTATAATCGTTTTCACTATTTGTTATATTCCCCTTATGAATGAAACCATATAATGTTTTCTAATTTAGTTAGAAATTTAGTTTTCTAATTTAGTTTTCTAAGAGAATATACCTAAACATTTACCAAGACTGATTTTTATGGCCCAGAATTTTGTCTATCTTGGGAAATGATGATCTATCTTTATATACTTGAGAAGAATGTGTATTTTGCTGGTATTGGGTGAAATGTTCTATGTCAATGAGGTTATGTTGGTTGATAATGTTCTTCAAGTCTACTATATATTTACTGATTTTCTATGCACTTGTTCTATCAGTTATTGAGAGAGGGGTATTGACATCTCTGACTATAATTGTGGATTTATCTATTTTCCCATACAGTTCTATCAACTATTGCTTCATGTATGTTTAAGCTCTGTTATTGGGGACATAAATGTTCAGGATAATTGTGTCTCTTAATTAACTTCACCCTTTATCACTATGAAATGACTTTCTTCATACCTTTTGGTACTCTTGCACAATGTTAATATAGATACTCCAACATTCTTTTGGCTGGTATTTGCCACAAGGTGCTATATGTTTTTCCCACTCTTTTGTTTTTAACCTTATTTATTTATTATTTATTTATTTATTATTTATTTTTTATTTATTATTAATGATCGTCACAGATAAAGAGGCAGAGACATAGGCAGAGGGAGAAACAGGCTCCATGCACCGGGAGCCCGACGTGGGACTCGATCCCGGGCCTCCAGGATCGCACCCTGGGCCAAAGGCAGGCGCTAAACCGCTGCGCCACCCAGGGATCCCCTAAAATGCATTTCTTATGAGCTGCGTACAGTCACATCTTGTCCTGTCATCAGATTGCCTTTTATTGGGGGTATTTAAGTCATTTACACTTAATGCAATCATTGATAGGGTTGGGCCTAAGTCTATAATCTTACTATTTTTTTTAAAGATTTATTTATTTATTTATGATAGACATGGAGAGAGAGAGACAGAGAGACAGAGAGAGAGAGAGGCAGAGACACAAGAGGAGGGAGAAGCAGGCTCCATGCAGGGAGCCCGACGTGGGACTCGATCCTGGGACTCCAGGATCGCGCCCTGGGCCAAAGGCAGGCACTAAACCGCTGAGCCACCCAGGGATCCCCTATTTGTTTTGTATTTGTCCCATCTATTCTTTGTTTCCTATTTATTCTTATTCTGCCTTTCAGTTTAAGTGAATATTGTTTATAATCCCATTTATCAATTACCTCTTTAAAAAGATAGGTAAATAGATAACAGGTAAATATAAAGTAACAAAAGTGGAAAGAACTATGGAGGAAAACAAAGCTAGAAAAAGGAATAGGAAAAAAAAAAGAATAGGAGTGATCTGGTTTGGGTAATGTAAGGAATTGGTGGCAGTTTTCAGTAGGATGGTCAGGAAAGGTGTTACCTGAAAAGACATATTTAAGCAAAGACAAGGAGAAAATCAAGGAGTGAGTCATGTGAATTTAAGAGAAGAGAATTTCATATAAAATGGGATTGTAAAATCCCTGAGGTTTATAATCATGAATTTGCCTAGTGAGTTCAAGGAGCAGCGAGGAGGCCATGTGGAGGGAGCAGAATACACAAGGGGATGATGAGAGGAGAGGAGCAATGGAGGCTGGTTTGTGGAGTAGTTTGCATCAGTTTCTCAATGAGATGCAGGGCTTTGAACTGCAGAGCTTTGAGTTGGAAATGACATGATCTCACTTTAGGTGTAAAAGGATCACTCTAGCTTACTATATTGAGAATAAACTGTGTGGGAGGGGGAGCAAGAACACAAAGGAAAAGCCAGTGAGGAGGTTATCATGATAATCCAACGAGAGAGATGATAACTTAGCCCATACTTAGACCTGTGAGAAATGGTTAGATTCTGAGTATTTTGAAGATAGACATGAAGGATGTACTGATGGATTAGCTATGGGTATGAGGAAAAGAGAGGATTCAAGAATGATTCCACAGCTGGCCTAAGGAAATAAAAGGATAAAGGTACATTCTCTGATGTGGAAACTGTGGGAGTCAAACGTCTACAACAACTTGGTACATGGTAGGTGCTTTGTATTGGGAAAGGCAGGCTTGTATGTGCAGTCTTTCAGCCCCTCTTGGCACGACCATAAGAATGGCCCTGAAGCCCAGAGCACTTGCTTTACCAAGAGACAGAGTCCTCACAGCCTATGTGCCTTTGTTCTGCTTGAGTATCATATGGCACCTGGCTGTCCCCACCACTGTATCTGTCCTGTTGGGGAGGGAATGGGTTCCTTCTGTGCAGCACAGGAGAGGGGAACACAGGCCTGTTGTGCTCTCTGTAGTTGCCTAGAGGGACCTGCTCTCCCCTGTGCAGAGGCAACTGACCCCCACTACTGATGCTGACTGTTCTTGCTCTATTTCTTCCCTAAGTGAGCAAAGTGCTGTTCCACCCAGTGCTTGACTGTGTTGTATTTACCACAGTGGCTCCAGTACCAAGATACAATGGGCAGAAATATTTGGATTTCTACTCCTAGTGATAGGCAGCAGATGTCACTTGCTTGACACTTCGGAAATATTGAGTGAATAAATGAATGAATAGGAAGGCTGTTAATTTTGAAATGACTGTTGGGCCTATAAGTGGAGATCATGAGTGGGCAATTAGATGTAGCAGTTTGAAGAGCAGGGAAGAAGTCTACTGGGATTCTCGTAGAAGTCATTAGTCACCATTTGAAAAAATGGTAAATAATTTGAAAAGACTTGGTGTCCATAATGAGTGTTTCTGGCCAACAAAAACATACATAAAAATGTTTATAACAGCATTATTTATGGTTGACCTGAACTGGAAAACAGTATTCATCAACAAAAGAATGGAAAAGAAAATTGTGATGTCATCGTCGAATGGTATTCTATAATATTGAAAATGAATGAACTTAGGTACGTGCAGCAATATTGAGGAGGCCAGGCAGAAAATAATTCTTTCTGTATGATTTCTTCATGCAAATAAAGCTAAACTATGGTGTTTAGAAGTCAGGCTATCTTAAGGGAAGGAGGGAGCTGGTAATGATTGGGAGACCGCACTAAGGTAACCTTCTGGAAGGTTGGCAGTGTTTTCTGTTTCTTCACCTGGGTAATGATTATTATGTATTTGCTTTATCATTGTTCACTGAGTTGTACATTTAAGTATGAGACACTTTTTGGGATATTTTTGGAATATATATTACATTTCTAAAAAAAATAATGCTAACATACTGCTTCCCAAAGAATTTGTTGACCAGGCTCTAGTTTTAAAAGCTGTGCTTGACTCCTAGCTATCCTTGTGATTTTAAGTGGTCATGAAGCATACAAGATAGTCCATTTAAACTGTGGCAGGAAGAATATCATACAAATAACTGAGTTCCTAATACTGGAAAAGATGCAGAGCAACCACCATTGAAGTGCAGAGTTTAGCATACCTTCCCTGACATCTAAAACAGCATTTTTTTAAGGTTGGAATTTAAAATAAATTAGGGAAAACTCAGTAGGAAATCTTAAGTTTAAACAGAGCATTAAAGCTAGGTGGGAAAGATCAGAGAGGGTGACAAAACCTGAGAGACTCTTAACTCTGGGAAACGAACAAGGGGTAGTGGAAGGGGCAGTGGGTGGGGGGGATGGGGTGACTGGGTGACGGGCACTGAGGTGGGCACTTGATGGGGTGAGCACTGGGTGTTATGCTATATGTTGGCAAATCAAACTCCAATAAAAGAAGATATAAAAAAAATAAAGCTGTAAACCTCACATATGAAACTATGAAAATATTATTTCTCAAAAGAATGTAGTAACCTTATAAAGATATACTTGAGTTAGGTATGTGTTCATTGTTTTGAACTTTGAGCATTGAGGTGAATCCAGAATTTCATCTCATTTATGCAAGGATGTTTGAGTATATTAAAGCCACCTATACAAGGTAGTCACTTGAGACCCAAATCTTCCTCTTCTGTATCTGATATTTTGATATTATTGATTGATAATATTGATATTTTGATTTTATTGCCTCAATTCCCCACCAAAACTATAGACCAAATCTAACAAGATAAAATATAACGAGTATAAATGCAAGATCTTACATTTGAGTTCAGGTAAAGAATGTGAAAGTATGATTTACCAACTAAGTGATGAAGTTTCAGGAGGTTTTATCAATATCAGATCGCTCTTCAAATGGGATGATCCCCTAAAAAGGTTAATGTGATTATAGGCTGTGTTACTGCAAGTAATGGGAGATAGTTAGATCACACCAAGCACATTATGGTCAGTTTGGGCACCATATTTTAAGAGTGGCATTAATGAATTAAATAAAGCTCATCTAAAGGAAAGCACCAGGTTTTGAGGGTTGTAAAAATGGATTATATGACTGAAGAAACTAGGACTGCAAAGTCTGACAGCAATGTAAAGCATTATCCCCATTTTACAGAAAGGAAATTGAGGCTCAAAGATAATTAATGACTTATTAAAATGTTACTGAAAAGTAGTTGGCTCAGGACCCACATCCTTTTATTTTTAAACTAGTATATTTTTCATTTCAAAATATTTGTTTTCGTTATATTTTTAAAAAGTTGACTGCTAGCCCCTATAGAGGAGAAACTTGAAAATATAAGTAAATGATTACAGATTAAATGGAAGAAAAGGGAACATTCTGAGTAGGAAGATCAGTGAGACGATATTATACATTTACTAGTATTACAGAAGTGTATTGTCTTATCCACATTTCTCTCACTCTTTCTTTTTCAAGGTTTTTGACTCCAATGAAGAATCTGGGTATCTTGTTCTCACCATCGTTATATCAGGTCATTTCTTCATTTCCCAAGGACAGACACTGCTGGTAGGTTTTATGCATGTAGTGTAATATGCAAATATATTTCTTTATCTTTGTAGTTTTACATTAGTTTTGTACCCTCAAGTGTCCTCAGGGTCGCAGAAATTCATCAGGTTTAGCAAATTAAGCATGTATCAAATATTCTGTAGCAGTGGGAAATACAAAAATATACTGAATGTTGCCTGACCAAAAGTGGTTTAGGGTTCTGTTTTGAGAGTCAAAGTGGATCAAAGGATTGAGATTAACCAGTATTATAAAGGATTCCTAACTGGGGAAATTGGGTTGAGACAGGCTGAATTTATAGAGAAATGTATGGAGGGCTTTTCAGAGAGGGTAAAGAACATAAGCAGAGGGATAGATTTGAGGAAGTAGAGGAAAATTTGAAGCATGCTATTATTAACTTACATAGCCCTTTATAAAACTGATTTTTATAGAGGTGCATTTTTTCTTTATTCGAATATACACACATTGTACGAAATTTTTGTAAGAAATACATAATGTAGGAAAATTTTGAAATAAAGAGAAAAGGGAGAAAATAACAGTCATTTTGCTTGAAAGTTGATGTTTGAATTGGTATTAGAAACAAAATGAAAATGGCACCTGGGTGGCTCAGTTGGCTAAGCATCTGCCTTCTGTTCAGTCATGATCCCAGGGCCCTGGAATTGAGCCCCACATTGGGCTCCCTGCTGAGAGGAGGGCTCAGCAGAGGGCTCCCTCTGCTGCTCCCCCTGCTTGTGCTCACTCTCTCTGTCAAATAAATAAATAAAATCTTTAAAAATTAAAAAAAAAATGAAAATACAAGACAACTTCCAGTCAAAGAATTGTAAAAGAAAAGACATGGAAGAGAAGATTATTATATTATTTACTTGTGAACAATATCTCTACAGCCATAATAAATTCATACAGGTATTTACTGATTATCAGCGTAGGCATAATTTATTCACTGAACATATTTATTGAGCAGTTATGTGCTAGGCATTATTCTAGATGTTAGGAATATAGAAGTAAACGGCAAAAACAAAAATCCCTATCACTGTGGAATATCATCATTCTGGTGGGGAGAAGCAGCATGAATCAATAGGTCTATATATATAAAAGATATGAATTTTTTTGTGAATCCCTTATACATTCTGTTAAGATGGTAGCATCCCACAGCTGTACATTGCAATGACTCATGTCTCCACTTAGGTGGAGTATAGCCTTATCCTTGAATGTGAAGTGACTTGTTAGGGACCTCTTTGTGTTCTTTGTGATTTTTAAAACTGCAGCAATTGTTGTATCATTTTTGCTCTATTTACCACTGTGAGGGCTTGTATTAGTTGTAGAAGATAAGATGTCTTCTTCAGCTTCAAATGAAGAATATTCTAGATGATGGACTGGGGGATGCCTAGCCCACAGCTAGTTCTCCTCTGTTGGTATTGTGGGTCTTTGCTGAATGATGACATTAAGGAAATTTGGCTTCCTTAGACATAGGGGGCCACTCTGTGCTTTGTCTACTCCATATGTTTGTACCAGTGGTAAATGTTGTTACAAACTGATAGAGGTTTCTTTGTATCATACATGAAATTATTTTTTAAAAATATTTTATTTACTTATTCATGAGAGACACAGAGAAAGAAGAGAGGCAGAGACACAGGTAGAGGGAAAAACAGGCTCTCTGCAGGGAGCCGGATGTGGGACTTGATCCTAGGACTTGAGGATCATGCCCTGGGCTAAAGGCAGGTGCTGAACTGCTGAGCCACTCAGGGATCCCTCATGAAATGATTTTTACAATGCAGTTACAAAACTAAGTTTATAAAATTCCAAAGACCCACTACTGAGAAAATGATGGTAACTCTGCAGTTTGTTTCATGTTGCATATATGTATATACCTTATATGTATGGATGGTACATTTTTAAAAAATTCTAAGTAGGGTCCACATCCATTATGGGACTTGAACTCATGACTCTGAGATCAAGAGTCCCACACTATACTGACTGAACCAGTAAGGTGCCCCTATTGGATAATACTTTTTAAAAATTCTTATTAAACACTTTTTAAAACTCATTTTTATTGAGGTATAACTTGCATAAAATTACTTATCTTCAGTGTTCAATTTGATGTGTTATTGTTTTTGAGAGAGAGCGAGCATACACGTGTGCAAGCAGGGATGGGGAGGGGCAGAGGAAGAGAGAGAATCTTAAGCAGGGTCCATGCCCAGCTCAGAGTCTGATGCAGGGCTCAATCTCACAGTCCTGAGATCATGACCTGAGCCAAAATCAAGAGTTGGATGCTTAACCAACTGAGCCACCCGGAAGCCCCTGATATGTTTTGATAAATGAACATAGTCATGTAACCACTACTACAATTGTGATATAGAACATTACAATTAACCCCCAAAGTTTACTTGTACCCTTTTTAATCAGTCCCCTTTGCCTAACATCAGATCTGCTTTCTGTTGCCATTGTTTTCCTTCTCTAAAATTTCCTGTAAATGAAATCCTATAATATGTAGTCTTTTGTGTCTGCTTTTCCACTTAGCATAATGGAATTCATCCATATTGTTTCTGCCTTTTCACTACTGAATAGTATTCACTGGTCTCTATAAACCTCATCTGCTTAACTGTTCACCTTTTGATAGACATTTGGGTTGTTTCCATTTTTGTGGTTAATATAAATGATGCTGGTATAACCATTTGTATACAAGTCATTGTATGAACATATGTTTTCATTTTTCTCTGATAAACTCCCAAGAGTGGAACTGTCACTGGGTCATATGGTACATCTGTGTTTATTAGAAATGGCACAGCTGGTTTTTCAAAGCGGCATTCCCACAATGTATGAAGGTTCCAGTTGTTCCATATCCTCACTGAGATTTGGTATTGTCACCTTCTTAACTGTTCTAATGGGTATGACATGGCATCTCATGGTACATGTTTTAATTTGCATTCCCATAGTGAGTAGTGACATTGAAGAACTTTTTGTGTGTTGACAGGTGTACCTTGGAGATATCGCAGGTTAAGTACTAAATTACCACAATAAAATGAGTATAACAATGAAGTGAATCAAATGCATTTTTTGGTTTCCCAATGTATGTATAAGTTAGGTTTACACTACACTGTCGTCTGTCAGGTCTATAGGTGCCATAACATTACATATATTTTTTCATAACATTATGTTTAAAAAAACAGTGTACATAATTAAGAAATACTCTGTGGCTAAAAAATGCTAACCACCATCTGAGTTTTCAGAGTCATAATCTTTTTGCTGGTGGGGGTCTTGCCTAAATGCTGCTGGATGCTGACAGATCTGGGTGGTAATTGCTGAAGGTAGAGGTGGCTGTGGCAATTTCTTAAAATAAGACCACCGTGAACTTCGCTGCATTGATGAACTCTTCCTTTCATCAACAACTTCTCTGCAGCATGCAATGCCATTTGATAGCATTTTCCCCGCAGTAGAACTCCTTTCAGAATTGGAGCCAATCTTTTCAAACCCTGCTGTTGCTCTGTCAACTAAGCTTATGTTATATTCTGAATCCTTTTTGTCATTTCAACAGTCTGCACCGCATCTTCAGCAGAAGCAGTTTCCATCTGAAGAAACTACCTTTTTTGCTCATGCATAAGAAGCAACTCCCCATCTGCTAAAGTTCTATCATGAGATTGCTGCAAGTCAGTCCCACCTATGGACTCCTCTTCTAATTCCACTTCTCATCTTCACAACATTTCAGTTATTGCCTTCATTCAAGTCTTGAACCCCTCAAAGTCCTCTCTGTAGACTAGAATCCGCTTCTTCACATCTCCATAATAGCTCTTGGGTGACCTGGTGCATTGTCAGTGAGCAGTAATATTTTGAAAGGAATCTCTCTGAGCAGTAGGTCTCAACAGTGGGCTTAAAATATTCAGTAAACCATGTTGTAAAAAGATGTATCATCCAGGCTTTGTTGTTCCATTTATGGGACACAGGCAAAGTAGCTTGACCATAATTCTGAAGGGCCCTAGGATTTCTGGATGATAAATGAACATTGACTTCAACTTCGAGTCACTAGCTGCATTAGCCCCTCATCACAGAGCCAGCCTGTCCTTTGAAGCTTTGAGGCCAGGCAAATGCTTCTCCTCTCGAGCTATGAAAGCCTGACATGGCATCTTCTTCCAATAAAAGGCCATCTCATCTACACTCAAAATCTGTAGTTTAGTGTAGCCCACCTTCATTATCTGAGAGAGATCTTCTGCATAGCTTGCTGCTTCACCTTGCACTTTTATATTCTGGAGACACTGTCTTCCCTTATACCTTCTGAACCACCTATACTGGCTTCAGGCTTTTCTTCTGCAGCTTCCTCACCTTTCTCAGCCTTCACAGAATTGAAGAGAGTTAGGGCCTTGCTCTGGAATAGGCTTTGGCTTAAGGGAATGTCGTGGCTGGTTTGATATCTAGATTGCTATAACTTTCTATCAGCAATAAGACTATTTTGCTTTTGAATCATTCATGTATTCACTCAAGTAGTTGTGTTAATTCTTTCAAGAACTTTTCCTTTGCATTCACAACTTGGCTAACTTGTTTGGCACCATTTGTTTGCACTACAGGTTTGGTGCAAGTGGCCTCTCCCAGCTTTAAACATGCCTTCCTCACTAATCATTTCTGGTTTTTGAAGTGAGAGACATGTGACTCTCTTTTACTTGAACACTTAGAGGCCATTTCATTGTGGGTTATTAGTTGGCCTAATTTCAATATTGTTGTGTCTCAGGGACTAGGGAGGCCTGAGGAGAGGGAGAGAGATGGGAATGGCTAGTCAGCAGAGCAGCTAGACCACACACATTTTTTAAGTTTGCTGTCTTACTTTAATGCTTGTGGCTCATGACGCCCCAAAACAATTACAGTAGTAATATAAAAAATCACTGATCACAGATGATCCTAACAGTTAAAGTAATAATGAAATAATTTGAAATATTGTGAGAATTACCAAAATGTGACACAAAGACATGAGGTGAGCAAATGCTGTTGGAACAGTTGCACCAATACATTTTCTTTGC